ATCCTCCACTGAGTAAAGAAAGATAGGGGCAGAAAAAAAATGCAGGCCATTGACCCTCATGCTGGCTGCTGCTGGAATATGAATGTGCCTACTGATCTTCAATGATCCAATTTATTTGACTGCACAGGGATAGCACATATTGGAGAAGATACTGAAGAAGCACAGTCCACACAACATTTCAACTACTATTAAGCAAGTAGGAAAATAAACACACCCGTTTGCAGCACAAAAAGGAAAATTACTTCCATTTATAGCCAGGGAAAAATCTCTGGAATATTGTGATGAAGAAATGAAGAGATTTCTGTAGAATCTGCTTGATCAAAGCCATTTATTTCCAACTCTCAGTTCATTTTCTATATAATTAACTGTCCAAAAACACATATGTAAAATAATCGCCTTTGCAACATGGAATTAGAAAGCATATCCCTTTTCACCAAAAGGTTGTTTGGGCGGAAGTTTTAAAACTCATTATGAAATCATTAGCTCGTTGTACGTTTATAATGAAGAAAGATTTTTTCTCTTGTTTTTGAGACCATTCCCAGTCTACAAACAAGCATGACAGCTGACTTTGCAGTTACTATTCTCTTCATAGCAAGGGCAGTTCACCATCTTCCTGACGAACTGTGCAAGTCAGATCACGTACCAGTGGTTTGTTCTGTCCCTAAGTCATCCAAAGGGGAAGATTGACCACTCCACCAAAAATACAGATATACAAGCAATGAAAGCTACAGATACGTATAGAGAGCTATGTCAAAAAAAAAGTGGAAAAACGAACTTGTTGTAACTATTGTATGAAGAATAACAGAAGAGAAAATAAGAGGAAACTCAAACATAAAATGTCCTGTGAGGAAACTATAAAATGGAACGAAGTACAAAAACTGAACAGTCTCAATTGAAATACTTGTACTAAATACTTGTATGGGCTTCATCATGCTAAATACATGCAGCATGCCTATTTTAAAGAAGCACATGATGGACAAAAATGAGAATGAAAATGTGATAGTAATACAAATTTTCATAAAGTCAAGATGTCTATAGCCATGTGGCTGCGTATACATGGATTTAAATGCAACAAAATGCCACACACCCATCTTAATCCCAGATCATCAGTGATAAGCTACATCACTGATAATCATCCCTTGTCATCAGGTCTTGCCTTCTCTGGAGGTCTTCGTTTTATTTACTGCTTCAAGAGGCCAGCAACACATACCAAGGCATCAACCATGTTTGAATAAATTTGAGAGCTACAAACAGAAATCCGAAGTTAAGAGGAAAATGGGATTAAAATGGAAAAAGAAAAGAAAATGCCATGTGAAGGCGTTGAGGTCCCTAAAGAGCACTCAGATGCTGTCCTCTGTGACACACAAATGTTTCCTTCATCCTGTGACGCTCCTGAAGGAGAATTTGACTATATAGCATGCGGAATTTATATTGTCATGGTGCAAAAGGCAGTCTGAGTTGGAGTAGATTCTGGTACATACAAAAGACAAAGAAGTCAAAAAAGGAATGCTATAAAAACATTTTTTCAGCTCAAATGTGCAAATCATTTTATTTCTCTGGAACTACGAAGTCTCACAAGGAGTCAAAAACAAGTGCCTATGAGAAGTGGGTGCCGACAGATAAAGGAAAGTGGATTAGAAGGAGGTGAAATGCTGGAAGCCATTTTCACCAGCTAAACAAATTTGCCTAGGCAGATCCTACAGGAGTGTACACAGAGGTGAGATGAGTCCCAAAGTACACGTAAACCTAAACACTTGTTTACCATCCTTCCACTCCCACAGATGTTCAATGAGAACAAAATAAATTAGATCAACATTTTAAAAATGCATCCAGTAGCTATTTGCCCAGGGAAAGAAGACAAGTGGCTATTTCAAAAGCTGATGTACCAGGTCAGAATGCTCAATATCTGATAAAAATTAATGAGCCAGTAAGTGATCCAGCTGCAGATCTGATCAATCCAGCAACTACATTTTGTGTTGCCTAAGTAGAACAAATGAGTAATGACATTTTATGGCTGGAGCTTAGATAACTGCAAATGTTATTAATGGTTTTAATCTATCTTTTAAAAATGACCTATGTCCATTAAAAGTATCCTGCCAACATGCTTATTCTGTAAATTTTGAAAAAATAAAACCTAGAGCTTACCATAAATGGCACCAAAAATGCATTAATGATATCACTACTATTTACTTCAATTGAATTGCACTTGTCAGTGTATTTCTAACAAAGTTAAAGACCCAAAGCACCTATTTTTATCTTACAAAATAAAACCTAGAGCAAGACACAAGAATCATTTTATATAATAGCCTTCACATTTGTGACTTTCTAAACTAAAAGCTCTAATCCCCATTTTATCATTTTTGTACTGTTAATATTTCTTTTTCCAATCACTCATCACATATAAATTCTACTATACTTTCAATTCTGCCACTGTTTTCTCTAAATTTTTTGGTCTCTAAGAAACAATCTGTGTTAGAATGTGAAAAACAAAAATGCATCTTCTGATATGAAGTCATTGTGTTATTTTTACCATTCAGGATTTTCCTTTTATTTTGGTATAAACAATTTTAGCATTAACTATAGAGATGCAGTCATAATTTTTCAATGATATCAACTTTTCAAATTTAGGTAGTTACAACATGGTAATTTCAATAAATTTATCTGCCAAGAGTGTATAGCTTCACAAACTTGTTAACCTTACATAGAAAAATTAGATCCCATCTTTCACAATGATCTGATTGCTCAGATGCTTCCAGTTTGCTGAAACAATTAAAACAGTCTTCTTTCTTGAAAAATAAATCCTTGTTACTTGATGTTAGCAAATGGGTACACTTCAATCATTTACCATATTAATTTTCTATTATTCAAATATTTCATAAATAACAGTTACAACTTAAGTGTTTATTTTTTGGTACCTTAACCATCAACTCATCCTCTTCCCACAAGGCCTTCAGGAATATCTTGATGCCTGATGTTCAGAGCAAGCATGGTGTTCAAAATACTTCAGAAATACTTAAAACTAAATATATGATCACAATCTTACCATGCATGCTAAGAAAAATATATTTTTTATTTTATTTAAAATTTTTGTAGAATATTGTAGTGCTCATTATGTGCCACGGTAAAATGATGACAGTTTGTGGAATTGTAAATTGTCTGTCTCGTCCTGGTCAAGCAGTCACAGATTATACAATAATTCTGAAAAATGTGTAATATGAATTCTCTCTAGATTCATTTCTGACACCTTTTCATTTTCTTAAAAAGGACTCAGTATTTGGATCTCTGTTCTTTTCACTCCTCATTTTCTTTCAGAGAGCTCAATACACTAGCAGATTAATGGAAGTATCTTTTAAATAATGATTCCCCAAAGCTATATTGTCATGCATAGATCTATCAAATGATACTTTCAGACATCACACATCCAACATGATCAATCAAATAGCTTTCGTATACCACTTCTGCTTCTTTTCATATGTTTTTTGCCATTGGAATTGATATTCTGCAAGGCGGTAACCTGAGTGTTAGCCCAGATCCCTTCAGCTTATTTATTTCCTGATCTACTTTATATGGAATGCAATTTGCTTCACTGAAGTGGTCATAAATGCTTTTCTGGACTGCTGCAATGACTTGCTAACTGATTGCCTCACCCGCTCTACTCCACCCATGAAGTCTAGCTTCTGGTCTCCCTTTAGAGTTAGCAGATAAGTCACATGTTTTCCCTCAGTAATGTTCCTTAAAACAGTATAATGCATCTTACACTGGTGAAATCAACTGGCCAATGTCAGTTCTTATCACTTTTCTTTTCCCATTCACCGTCCACAATCTCCTCCCACACAAACACAACAGCGAAGACTATTTAATCAGTAGGGAACACATTTACCGCTGAAGTCCCTTCTGTGCTTCTTCACTTTTGTTATCCATACACCTGGAATGCTCTTACTACAGAGTGTGAATTGGTGTACACAACTCTTAAAACTAAACTTTGATTTGTCTAGTAAAGCTTTTCTATTCTTTGTAATCTCATAAAAACATATGCTTACCTCTGTCAAAATATTTTTTTCTATTATTACTGGCATTTACTTACTTAAGTAATCTATTAGGTTATAAGTTATTTAAGACTAAACATTGTCCAAATTTACTCTGATTACAAATGATTATAAATGCTCAATTATCCACCAAATTTACCCTGAATACAAATGTTGAAACAACATCAATAAATGTTCAAACAATACTATTAAACATGAAATTATTGTAACTTATCTCTGGCAGAGAATGATGACTATTTTTGAAAGCATTATTAATAACATAAGTCTTATGTTAAAATCATATATGTATACATTTGTATTTTCTATGCAAATAGAATGAATAATAATTCATTCATATTTCAGAAAATCTTAAAATAAATATCAAGTGAAAAATTACTTTCGTGCAAATTATTAGCACATGATTTCAAATACTGCATCACTCAAAATAAGACTCACTAATATGTGATATTCTTCATAGCTTTCTTTTTTTGGATTTATTTATTTTTATTGCAACGTCAGATATACAGAAAGAAGGAGAAACAGAGGAAGAGCTTCTGTCTGCTGATTCACTCCCCAATTGGCCACAACAGTTAGAGCTGAGCTGATCCTAAGTCAGGAGCCAGGAGCTTCTTCCAGGTCTCCCACGTGGGCAGGATCCCAAGGCTTTGGGCCATCTTTGACTGTTTTCCCAGGCCACAAGCAGGGAGATGGATGAGAAGCATGGCCACGAGGACATGAACTAGTACTTATTTGGGATCTTGGATCATGCAAGGTGAGATCTTTAGCCACTAGGCCATCACGCCGGACCCCTTTACAGTGTTTGTAACAAGAGGGAAGTTAACTGGATCAACCTGACACTAACTAGCAGTTTAGTTTAACCATTTACTGTGTTCCTCATTGTGCACACATCTGCACTTGTGAAAAGAAGGTATCATCTATTTAGGTGACAGAATTTAAAAATAGGGCTCCTGATGATTGCTTTGGCAGCACATAATCTAAAACTGGAAAGACAAAGAGAAGATTCACATGGCCTTGAGCAAGGATAACACACAAATTCGTTAAGTGTTCCATGCTAAAAAAAAATAGGGCCCCTGAAAAGCTAAATATTACAATAAAATTTCAGTAAGACACATATGGTCATTGTCAATGCTTATAAGAAAATGGAATCTGGAGGGCCCAGTGCAGTGGCCTATTGGCTAAAGTCCTCCAATTTGCACTCACCAGGATCTCAGATGAGGACTGGTTTTTTGTCCCAGATGCTCCACTGGCCACAGTTGAATAAAAGTGTTTGAGCTTTTTGCATGATAATGTCAAAATGTCCCCAGTATCAGAAGGCCTTATGATTCATTTTTAACCCATACCTTGAATTCTAAGGTAGCACTAATATCTGAAATCATTCCAATACTTCCTTTCAGGCTCCCATATTCCACTAGATATAGCAAAATAGTATAAGCATTGAATAAATCCTTGAAGCATCAAACTTTTAGGGAGAAGTAGGTTTTCTACTTGAGGAAGAGCCTAGAGGAATATTAGATTATAAAAGAACACAAAGACCTATTGATGAGCTTGAGACATAAGCAGCAAGTCCTAGCAATACCTTGACTAACAAAGAAAACCTCACTGATATTACCTCAGTTACACCTGGATGAATAGAACTAAAACCTCACATCAGTTTATGGTTGGAAAACACAGTAATAGATGCTAGAGACTTCAGACAAACCCCTTGCATTGTTCAAGTAAAAATTGTAAATGGGGAAATTGCTGAGTATAATCCTTTTGGAACAGTTGCCAAGGAACACCTACAAAGAGTGTGTTGTAGACACATCCCATGCATTTTTGATTGCACCATGAATAACAATGTTGCTCTACACATATTCAGAAAGTCACTAATAAAAAGCATTTTTGTTTATCAATGTTACCCAATATAATGGGAACAGTAGTGTGAATAAATGTGGTTATGAATGGGGTGAAAATTCTTACCTTTCAACATTTGCACATCATTTTCACTGTGCTAAAGGATCAACTAGAATTATTTTATTGTTTCATTGCAAGATTCACATGCATCTTTATTAACTCTCTGTTTCATCATTCAATTTTCAAATATGTTCAAGGAAACACGAAAAAAGAGAATGTGTGTGGTCCCCCACCCTTGGTGCAACTTACATTTTTTTCATGATAGCCTTCCCCCTTTTCCCCCCACATTCCCTACCCCCATTGATTTTCCCATATTATTACAATAATATAATCCTTTAGCAACGGTCACAAGTCCATCATTCTGTAATTTAGGTGTATCCTGACATACATAAGGATAGAAAGTCCAACATCCTATTGTTAAGATATATTTAACAATTTCAATGAGATTTCATTTTTATTTGGGAATAGAAATGCATGTTGCAATGTATGCAGCTCTCGGTATGCTAGTCCTCATTATACAGTTCATCCAGATGAATATATGTACATTTATGTTCACCTTTCTTATATTTTGCATGAATATCAAGGCAATCTGTGGGGTTTTAATGTGAGAATAACTGCAGCAAGAAACTGAAACTCATTTTTAATTCTGTAGGCAATCAACATTTTATTTCTCTGATCACTTCATCAGCCAGCAATTACACAATATTCTAGAACAATTTTCTAAATGAAATTAATTGATGTTTTATTTTTAATGACAGTCACAAAAAGTCTTTTAAAATTCATTTGCCTTTTGTAGAGCTAGATTTGTTACAGATGTTTTCAGTGATTCAGCCTTATTTTAGAAAATGTGTTTTCTTTAAATTTATGCTATCTACATCTGTGTATATGTGAAACACGCAATTGTGAAAAGGATTATGAATAACTATCTATTTGGTAAAAAAAAAAACCCATAATAATATAGCCTAAGAGAAAATCATTTGTACACCCATATCTACTACAAACTAATTCATAATAGTTAAGGTATGGAAGCAACCCAGACATCCCTCAGTTAATGGCTGGATAATGAAAATTTAGTGTATATACAGACTGGAATACTATGCAGTCCCCAAAACAGTGAAATTGTGCCTTTTGCACCAAAATGTGTGCAACTGTAGACCTTTATGTTTACTGAAATAAGTCAGTCTTAAGAAGAAAAATATCATGATTTCTCTGGTATGAGACAGATAATGCAAACCATACAAAAAATCTATAGGAATAAAATGGTCCCTTTGGGATATGATTTCCATTTTAACCCATGTTAATACTGCCGTAGAAATTTGGTCTTATGATTTTTTTTTTTACTTCTTGCATGCTGAATGTTATGGGTAGTGCCCAACTTAGCACACAAATATAGAGTCAAACAAACTATGTGCAAATACAGTTGAGAAGAAAAGGAAGCAGAATTACCAGAGTGGAGGAAACAGAGGAGTGAGAGAAGCAGAATTATCTTATTGGAACTGTATCTATAAAACAGAATATTTTATGTGTATATTAATAAAAATCATAAAACATAACAACATCAGAAATTTCCTAGAGAAATATTTGTTTTCTTTGTGGCCTCTTGCATATGTTTTGGAGCACTAATATATATGCATTAAAATTGTTGGCATTGTAAAACTATGGAAGCATTTAAAAATCAAGCAAGCATCCAATTTTTATATTTTAATCTATTATTATAATCATTATCATCATCATCCTCATCATTTTATAATACTGTTCCCTAGGCCCCTGGGATTTCCCACATCCCTTCCTCAGTCACGCCCCTCCCCACCAAGGTTCCCTACATCATTACTAAAGTACAGTTCTTCATACACAGTCATTACATCCATTATTGTGGGCATGGACAATGGCAGAGATTCATCATCCTATTGTCATATAGTAAACAGTTTAACTGGGAGTCCATCTTTAGTCTAGAAGCAAAGATGCGTACTGCGTTGTATCCTCACATCTGGATATGTTAGCCTCCATTTCACAGTTACACCCCCTTAAATGAAAAGCCACAACACAAAATCAACAATAGCAAGAAAATTTTTTAAGACAAAGCATAATATGTAATAGATATTTACCATCACAAACTTGTAACAAAATATAGCTGAGGGGCCACAAGATTTTTTTTTGAGATATTTTCAAATCATATAAAATACTGTTCTACTCTAAATGGACCCAGTAATTCTGCAGTTTATATGTAACTATGTGAGTTTTCAAAGTTCATTGAGAATACATATTATTTAAAAATATCCATAGGTTTCAAGATTTTTTTCTCACCAAATAAACTCATGTTTTAATTCTGTTTTTCTTTTTTTGTTTAATGTTTTTATTTCAATAAAACAAGATATTCTTTTTCTGAATTTTGAATCGTGAGGTACAATTTTATGTAGGCTGAGATTTCCCCCACACCCCCACCACTGTCAGATTTTTCCCATTTTGTTACAATAGTGTAGTCCTTCATAAGGAATCATAATTCTATCAGTCTCTTATTTAAGTGTACCCCAACATTGCAGGTACAGACACTTTCAGACATTCCAGCATCCCATTGTCTACACATGTCCAACAGTTTCATTGGGATTCCATCTTTCGTCTGGATGCAGGAATGCATGTTCAGTTATACCCCCCCCATCTGTATATGATAAACCCCAATATTCCATCACTGTACATTACTGTGAGAAGCCATGAAACAAGGTCAACAACTGGTATGAGTTAGAACAGTCACAACAACAACATCAACAACAAATTACAGTACCATGAAAAAAAAAGTGCCACTCAGTAACCAACACATGAGTCTCTTGGGAAAAATGATGTCATTGTATAGTTGATGACTCCGTGATGAATTCGACTAGAGAAAAGAGATTATTTGAAATGAGCCAAACTGAGATAAAAAACACCAAAACACATAAGATACAGCCAAAAAAGCAAGCAATCAATCAAAAAACAGTATGGATTGGACTATTGGAGTTACATTTTCCATGGTGGCTTCCTTATATAAGAGAGAATATAAGCTATTTGTTCTTTTGTGATTGACTCATTTCACTGAGCATAATGGTCTGTAGTTGGGACCACCTGGTTGTAAATAGAATACTTTCATTCTTCTTAATAGCTGAATAATATTTCAAGGAGTAGATGTACCACAGCTTCTCTAACCACTCTTCCTTGGACGCACATCTGGGTTATTTCCTTGTCTTTGCTATTGTAGATTGTGCTGCTGCAAATATAGGATTACAGATTCCCTTCTCACATGCAGATTTCGCCTCTATTGGGTATATCCTAGGAGCAGGATAGCTGGGTCATATGGCAAGTTTATTTGCAATTTTCCAAGCACTCTCCATACTGATTTCCACAGTGATTGTACTAGCCTACACTCCCACCAGCAGCAAAAGAGGGTGCCTTTCTCCCTACAACCATGCCAGCAGGTGTTATTAGTTAAGTTCTGAACATAGGCCAGTCTCACTGGAGTTAGGTGGTACCTCAACGTGGTTTTTATTTGTATCTATCTTATGGCTAGGGAGCCTGAGCATCTTTTCATGTGTCTGTTAGCCATTCGAATTCCTTTATCTGTGATTGGAAAGATCAGTCACTGCATACATTAATCACATGTTTTTGCTAATTGTTTCAGAAATATTTCTCATAGCTTTCTCTTCAGGAAACAGCCTCATATTTTCAGGCTATTTCCTCCTTATACAGTCTTGATCTCACTAGTTCTTGCCTTCCCAAATCAATCTGCGCCAAGAAAAGCTTTCCTCTTTCATTCTCACAATGCTGTAGGTCCTATAAAAGAGTCAGGAGACAGACAAAATAATACATGAATTACCCTTACTTTGAAAAAGCCACATTCTATGCCATGCGTGTCTGTCAGTTTTGACCACTGACTCCAACATTGTGACTAACGTACTTTTCTAAAGTTTCCAGTAAACTTTGACATCTCCCTGTTTACCATGTTCATTTTTGAAACATGCTGCTGTGTATTTCCATGTAACTGTATTTTCCCGAAATGTTTCCACTTGCTTTCTTCAACTCCTTGGTTATAAATGAATCAGGAGAGATCTGCCACAGCTCTGTGTGTGTGTGTGTGTGTGTGTGTGTGTGTGTGTGTGTGTGTGTTCCAGATAATGTAATTAAGTACTATTACT